AGAGTGTATATACCGACGCCATTGTGATCGATTCTGAGCCATGTCACCAAGAGTCTCCAATCATTGGTTACGATAGTCACACGGACCCCAACCAAGTAGTCTGAATCTACCAGTATAGCTCAAACTAGAAGTTAGTGACTTCAAGCACTGGTGCCACGTTTTGGTTTGGCCGCCCCTAACTTTCTTCCAACCATCCCCAACACTAGTCAGCATTGTGCGTCACGGTAATCGGTGTTCAGGCATACGCAACACGTGGCCCAAGAATCCCAGTCGATGAAGATTCACTGTTCAATACTATTTTGGGATATTTATGCTCAAAAATTCTTTAATTTATATTTTCTTATTTGAATAGAGTGTACAAAATTACCCTACTGTTGAATTCCAACTATTTAAATAACGTTAATTTTTTAAAGCTAAATATGAAAACTCTGGGTACGCATAGCTCTGTGAGATGTTACGTCATTGATAAACAAGCAAAAATAATAGTACTGAGTATAAACAATTAGGAACAATAATAATAATAATAATAGTTTTTTAATGTTTATGGGGTTTGCATATGGTAATTTATGCTCGTAAAAAATAACAAATTCATATTTCTCGAGCTGAATAATACACTTAACATCTATCATAGTTCATCTGCTAGTAACATTCTGATTTGGTTTATGTCACTAAAGTATAAGAGTAATTTATTTTAATTCGATTAAATTCAGGAGATTTTTTCCAATTGGCTAATAATTAATTTTAATTGGTTGTTGTTATAACTTGTGGTCTGTGTGCCCTGTTAATGTATAACGTAATGATACCGTCAACTAGAGAGCAGTGAATTATCGAGCGGACCAATGACGCATAAAACAAGTACGAGCAGTCTAGAGTCCTTATTGGTCCTGCTTCCTGCCTAGCCCAGCCAGTTAAGTCCAGAACACCAATCTCAGACTACGCGATATGAATTGTTTATTTCAAACATATTGGGTTCATATACCAACGAGACAGACCACATCGTCTATAAAACGGAAAATAACATTTGTACATGATGTAGCCAAATGTGGCTGTGAGTGTGGGAGGTAGTAATTAATAGACAGGGTATAATTCAAGAATGATATATCGTGTAATAATAGTTCTAAGGTCAAAATAAAGCTCATAATAAGAGGGACATGAATATGAATAATTTAGTTATTTAACAATAATACGATAAAAATGTACTCACAGTATTGGTTCATAAATGGATTCCAAAAGTTACCATTCATTATTCTTATCGGGATATAACAGTTATGTCCTTTGATAAATTCAGACGAACTAGACTTGTATTCTATAGTACTTAAAAACAATCGTCAATAATGAAAAGTGATTTTATTGAAAAATTCCACAGTACTTGTTAGTATTTACCAATAGAGATTAACACATTTATCCATCAACTATCATTTGATCTGCATTCCTATTGGTAACTAATTTATATAAAAATTTGAAAATTTGTTTTTCCAAATTCACCAACCTCTCATAGTTGAGCTATGAATTTAAAATTATTAAAACTTAATATACTCTATTTGTTTTAAAGCTCCAAAATTAAAAAATATATATATATTTGGTGTTTTACGGTTTGTTAAAATATGTGATATTCTCGAATGGATGAGAAATATCACATGTTGAAACAATATAGGTAAGACCCAACTATAATTTTGAAACACTAGACAGATATTTCACTAGTTTATAGTCGATGAGTATTTAAAGGAAACAGAGTTCGAAGTTCTTGATGACTTCAAACAAATCGCAGTTTTCTAAGTACTCACTTAAACTAGCTGTTCTTAAAGAAATAATTTTTAACAACTCTGAAACCAATCACCATCATTACTAATGTGAGTTGACGTCGCAACAACAATTAGTTTTGTGACATTTGTAAAGTGGTAATAACAACCAATTGACACCTACTTATGTTGGTCAATTCGTCTTATAAAATATTATGTATATACTAATATGTTTACTCACTCTATAGTTTTTTCTTGAGGCACAAAACTGTCAAGTAGAGGCGAATGTGTATTTCAGCGATTTGGCTAGGTTTATTAGCTAGAACAGTCAAACTTATATTGACATTGCAAATTGCATAAATACATTAGCTTATTGACTAATTAGTGTCAGGTATAGCTATGTTCAATCTATCCGAATTAGGTCATCGATAAGATAAATAAACCACAGTGTATTTAAAGTTTTTGATTTATCTCTGGTGGACAGTAAAATTCTCATTTGCAATCATTGCTTCGTACGTCCACTAAGCCATATCAGTCAATTCAGTTCCAACAGATGGAAAGTGCCATTTTTTCACAACTACAACAGAAAAGTCTGTTGAAAGTTCTATCTTCTTATCTTCACTCAGTTACCATAGTTCAAATATCGTTGTGTACCAATTGATCGGTCTATCATAACATAAACTAGGCGAATTATCGCTGATTTGAGATGATAAATTTAAATTCTAGGTTTTTAGGATTTATAAGGATGTTGCTCTCTCGACATTTCGTTGTATCACGTGTAGTCGAGTAAATCGATATTCACAAAAATAACAATGAATATTCCCACATTCTGATTACACTTCATGTGTATATTCAGTTGAATATGGAAATTCGGAGCAAATCTCTTCCAACTCAATATTCATTTGTTTGAATAAAAAATAATCGATTTACATACAAAGCATGAAGGATCAGTCAATCACTTGATCAGTCAGTCAGTCAGTCAACACGAAGATAATCGTGAAACCAATCTAGTTGTAGGTTGTTAACTGACCAATAATATTTCATTTGATCCTAATGTTATGTACGATAGTTGTTTGTTTACCAGCATAAATGTTACTGGATGTTATTGATTTGTTAAATAGTTGTTTTGACGGTTGTTATACGATGATTGATTTACTTCTAGATAGTGATCAGGCAACATCGATCTTGTTTTCAGTTGTATCTTATTAACAAGATATGTCATCAGTAACTCGTTATAATTTTTCTTTTTGGTCATTTAGTTATGGAATTTAGGATTGGAATATCTATTACTACTCAAGCAATAAATCTATTGTTTGATCCTGAGGAAAATGTTTTAAGTGCCTGATGAGTTGATTCGTGTCATAATGAATAATTTTGAGTTGAGTTGTTTCGTCGATATGAACTGTGATTATGACTGATTGTTTATTGAAAAAATGTTTAGTGGTATTCGAAAAGTTACCGACTAAATGATGTTCACTTTTTTATATTCTATTCTGCGGTGCCTGAGTTCACAGACTCTTGTAATCATTTCTAACTAATAATTTTTACGACTATTAGTTCTTGGAGATTGAAGTTACCCGTTTGTATAAGGTAGTGCTCCATTCCAACACGTGTTCAGAAAAACAGTAATTTTATTATACAAGGTTTTGAGAAGTAGGTAAGAAACCTTTGACTTGGATTTCACGCTGATTTTGACACTTCAAATAGATGTAGGTTGTTTTGAGACAGCTGATCTTAATTGTGATATTTTAGCCTACGTTACCCAGCTTTACTCTCTGGGATGCCACCTTCAATGTGTTTGGGAGCGGAGTGACCTCTTATAAGACTTAGATATTTGAAATTAATTACCGCAGAGTATTGACTGATTAATGTATATACATTTATGCCAGGAATGAATTTAATAAACGCTGGTTAGATATGCAATATGAACACAGTCCCATGACTTTGGAGTTATTGACAATGACCTTAACAATTGGACTTTTAGATTTAGTGTTTCCTATAAACTATCTTAAGACAACTAAGCCTAGTTACCAAACATACGTTTGTCTGACGATAGCTGAAAACAAACTGTTCTAAAAACGTGAAATGATTGTTGTAGAGTAGCTTAAATTTTATGTAAATAAGATTTTCACACTTGACATTTACAAGAGTAATGAGCACTTATACTTTTCCTAGACCATTCATATACTGTGACGAAAAACTTGTCCATAATACACTGATTTCACCCAGTGAATAATAATGTCTAAATTTTTATCACATTAATTTTCAATTTATTTGAAATTACACTGGTCGTATCAGGTTCATTTTGTTTTCCTGATTATCGTATAGGCGAAAACAAATGATTAATTGATAAATCACTAGGCGGTGATCACTTTCATATATGTCAGGTCCTTCTGAGTGCAGATCGAATCCTATTGAGCCAGTTGCGATGAGCCACCAATCTAGGTGACTCCATATCGATCAATTGTAAATACATCTCAATCCGACGGGAGGTAAATCATGGCCTGGATAGCCAAGTGGTAACGTCTCTAACTGTGAAGCTGGATGACACGGGATCGAATCTGTCAGGGAGCATCAGTTCCCTCAAGATCACAGGTACACCTTGCTGACAATTGCCAAGTAACAGGAAAAATTAAACATGGGATAATAGTGTAAGTTTCTATGATAAAGGAATGTGAACACTCATATTTCGTTCTCTCAATATTTCCGCTAATATTAATAAGAAATTATTTTTAGGGAACCTATTATTCAATTTCCATGTATAATAAGTGTTACCAGGCTAAATATAATGTTAAATGGAGTGATTATTTCTAAAATAATAGCTGACATTTATTTCCGACAGATTTTTTTTGTAATTCATGCAATATCGATGAGCGATTTATTTTTCTTTCAAGAACTGAACACATAAAGTGAACCTTGGCACAGCACAGTCAACCAAAGCATTCAAGATTACATATATATGCGGGGGTTTACATTACATAAAGTAGATAAAGAGTTTAAAATAAATAAGGCGGCATTAGAAATAGTTTAATCTACCCAATTCTAGAATGTGTTACTTTTATTGAAATTAATATATCTCCTCTGAAAGTGATGATATTCAACTGAAATTTAATTGAAACTGTAGTTAGACGTTGATAATCTAATCTATAAACAACAATTTTAATTGAATAAAAGAAAGAAAAGTGAATATGTAGATAATTATCATTATTTATTTAGGATTATTATTACACTTTTTTTTTCAATAGAAAATGTTGATCGAAATTAAAGGCGTTTCCCAATCATTGGAAATACAGTTGACAATATAAATTGCATACTCTCTTTATTATCATCAATCTCCATATATGATACAATTGTATCAGTGAATATAGGTAGAATGGACTAAATTGAATTCATGCAATGAAACACCCAGTAGTCGTTATCATAGTAGTAGTAGTAATCGTATTTTGTAGTTGACAAATCGATTAGTTATTTTTTAATTAATGAAACAGAAAATAAAATAATTTGTATGAAAACGTGAAAATATTTGATCCAAAATTATAAAATAAGCCAATTAACTTAGAGGATTATTCGTATCATTAGTGTTGAATTGTTTAATGTATCATAAATTGCACAACTTGATAGATATCTGTATATACATGCACATAGCAGTAAAGAGTGTACATGAAATATCATATTCATTAATAAGGTATCATTAATGATTATCTAATAGTTGGGCTCAGTTTACATAATCATTATCAAAACTTGTTGACAACTTGATTAATTACAGAAAAATCAATTTACCAATATACATGAAATAAATTACATTTTTTTTGCAACACAACAACAATGTAAAAAATAGTAATGAATAAACTATTTGATGGATTTTTTGACAGTTACGAATGTTTTATAACTCCACCTGTAGTCCCTCCGGGGGCCACTGCCGGTCCCAAGCCCGGATAAAGGAGAAGGGTTGGGCATGGGGTTAGCGTCCTCATCCCGTAGAAAACTAACTCGCTAAAAAAACGCTAACCAGAAAAAATTATTCAAATCTTTTAAACTCTGCCCTGGGAGTCAGAAGGTCTTCATTTAGAAGAATTATGACGCCTCATGATAAAAGCCGAATTCGTTCGGAAGTTACGAGGCCGATGCCCCTTCTGACAACCAGAGAGACCATTTATTTAGGTACATGGAATGTTCGTACAATGTGGGACACCAGGAGAGCCTTTCAAATTGCTGCAGAAATGAGAAGATACAACCTAGAGGTACTTGGGATCAGTGAAACTCATTGGACACAAGTTGGACAACAACAACTAACTACAGGAGAGCTCCTGTTATACTCCGGCCATGAAGAAGAAAATGCACCACATACACAAGGAGTTTCATTGATGCTGTCCAAACAAGCGCAAAATGCGTTTATAGGATGGGAATCTTATGGACCAAGGATCATCAAAGCCTCGTTAAAAACAAAGAAAGAGGGCATTTCAATGAACATCACCCAATGCTATGTGCCTACCAACGACTACAATGAAGACGCTAAAGATCAATTCTACAATAGGCTGCAGTCAATCATCGAGAAGTGCCCAACAAAGAACCTGACCATTCTGATGGGAGATTTCAATGACAAGGTTGGAACGGACAACACTGGATATGAAGACGTCATGGGACGACACGGACTGAGAGAAAGAAACAAAAATGGTGAGAGATTTGCAAACCTATGTGCCTTCAATAAGCTGGTCATTGGCGGCACCATATTCCCACATAAACGCATACACAAAACCACATGGACTTCACCGGATCACTCTACACAAAACCAAATCGACCATATTTGCATCAACAAAACGTTCAGGAGGACTATAGAGGACGTGAGAACCAAGAGAGGAGCTGATGTAGCCTCAGATCATCACTTGCTGGTCCCCAAGATGAAGTTGAAACTCAAGAAACACTGGACAACGGGGCGGACAATATCACAAAAGTTCAATACGGCCTTTCTCCAGGATACTAACAAACTCAACAAATTCAAGATAGTCCTCAGCAACAAGTTCCAGGCCTTTCATGATCTACTCAATGGAGAAGGAACTACTGTGGAGAGCAACTGGAAGGGGATCAAAGAGGCAATCACTTCAACATGTCATGAGGTCCTGGGTCACAAGAAGCACCATCACAAGGAATGGATCACTGTTGATACACTGGATAAGGTTCAAGAAAGGAGGGACACGAAGGCAGCAATCAATACCAGCCGAACAAGAGCAGAAAAAGCCAAGGCACAAGCTGAGTACACAGAAGTAAACATACAAGTGAAGAGGAGCATCAGAACCGACAAACGTAAATATGTGGAAGATTTAGCAACGACGGCGGAAAAGGCTACAAGAGAAGGAAACATGAGACGATTGTATGACACGACAAAGAAACTCTCTGGACATCGCCGCAAACCAGAACGACCAGTGAAAAGCAAAGAAGGCAAGGTAATCACCAACATTGAAGAGCAACAAAACAGATGGGTAGAACACTTCAAAGAACTCTTGAATCGACCAGCTCCACTGAACCCACCCAACATCGAAGCAGCACCCACGGACCTCCCAATCAATGTTGGCCCACCAACAATTGAAGAAATCAGCATGGCCATCAGGCAAATCAAGAGTGGCAAAGCAGCAGGACCGGACAACATCCCAGCAGAGGCACTGAAAGCAGACGTAGCGGCAACTACAAGGATACTCCACATTCTATTCAATAAGATTTGGGATGAGGAACAAGTACCAACAGACTGGAAAGAAGGACTCCTGATCAAAATACCAAAGAAAGGCGATCTCAGCAAGTGTGATAACTACAGGGGCATCACTCTTCTCTCAATAACGGGAAAAGTCTTCAACAGGGTATTGTTAAACAGGATGAAGGACTGCGTAGACGCCCAACTTTGAAACCAACAGGCAGGATTCCGTAAGAATAGATCGTGTAAAGACCAAATCACAACTCTACGGATCATTGTGGAACAATCAATTGAATGGAATTCATCACTCTACATCAACTTCATTGACTACGAAAGGACATTTGATAGCGTGGACAGAACAACACTATGGAAACTTCTTCGACACTACGGCGTGCCTCAGAAAATAGTCAATATCATACAGAACTCATATGATGGATTACACTGCAAAATTGTGCATGGAGGACAGTTGACAAAGTCGTTCGAAGTGAAGACCGGTGTCAGGCAAGGTTGCTTACTCTCACCCTTTCTCTTTCTCCTGGTGATCGACTGGATCATGAAGACGTCAACGTCTGAAGGGAAGCGCGGGATACAATGGACATCTAAGATGCAGTTGGATGATTTAGACTTCGCAGACGATCTGGCCCTTCTATCCCAAACGCAACAACAGATTCAGGAGAAGACGAACAGTTTGGCAGCAGCCTCAGCAGCAGTAGGTCTCAATATACACAAAGGAAAAAGCAGGATTCTCCGATACAACACGGCATGCACCAATCCAATCAAAATTGACAGAGAAGATTTGGAAGATGTAAAAACCTTTACATATTTGGGCAGCATCATTGATGAACAGGGTGGATCTGATGCAGATGTGAAGGCGCGAATCGGCAAAGCAAGAGCAGCATATTTACAACTGAAGAACATCTGGAGCCCAAAGCAACTGTCAACCAACACCATGGTCAGGATTTTCAATACAAATGTCAAGACAGTTCTACTGTATGGGGCAGAAACTTGGAGAACTACGAAAACCATCATACAGAGAATACAGGTGTTTATCGACAGTTGTCTACGCAAAATACTTCATATCCATTGGCCGGACACTACTAGCAACAACCTACTGTGGGAGAGAACAAACCAGATCCCATTGGAGGAAGAAATCAGGAAGAAGCGCTAGAAGTGGATAGGACATGTATTGAAAAAAGTACCCAACTGTGTCAGAAGACAAGTCCTCACCTGGAATCCTCAAGGACAAAGGAAAAGAGGAAAACCAAAGAACACATTACGCCGAGAAATGGAAATAGACATGAAAAAATGAACAAGAATTGGATGGAACTATAAAAGAAGGCCTAGGACAGAGTGGGTTGGAGAATGCTGGTCAGCGGCCTATGCTCCATTGGGAGTAACAGGCGTAAGTAAGTACGAATGTTTTATACTAGTTAGGAATAGTTTTCAATAGAAGAGAATTTTCCAAGTAACTAGATCAATTTTATTCCATCAAATATAAGTCAACTTGTTAAGTCATACTTTATCCCTTTAGCTGTCATACAATGAAAGGATGCATAAACGCATTGGAATTTCGGTTTTGCAATACCTAGTGCAGCATATGTATATATAATAAAGCTGATCTCTAAACATTATGACTTATGTCAGCAAACTTAACTAGAGTAAGATAAAACTGACTTAATAATTCGGATTTTATTGTAATTAATCCCCCCATGACGTATATATTTTTTCAAGAATGTTTATTTTATCACTGTCACGATCACAACAATTTATCCAATCATTCACCGTACAAATGTTAGTTTCTTGATCAAAATTAACCGTTTTTCAACATATTTTAATCACTAAGATAAATAAGTAATAAAAAAACATGTTATTTAGTATAGCGAACCTAGGTGTTAGGCACCGATCAAACTAATAACTTCATATTTAAAAGACTGCACACTTCTAGCCTTTAAACGAATTCACATTGTAAATTCACTTGGTGTTATTTGCTTGTATCTTCACATTGTTGTTTAGGGCCGCAAATGACCAGTCTCTTATTGACATATGTGCATACTGTACAAATTGCCTCAAAGTTGCTTTAGTTCACAAAAATTATAAGAAAAGATGAATAGTGGCTAGGAGTGGAATCTAAGACGCACGTTTTGTCCTATTTGGGACTTATCAGCTGGATGTACCCGCATCTCAGTGTCGATGTTTACTCCGGGACTCGAACACAGTATCTTTCGTTTCAAACTCTATCGCATCCCAAATAGGAAGAAACGCACGTCCCGGATTCCACTGTTAGCCACTAACCATCTCTGCTTAAAATTGACATTATATATATTTGATTATATAAAAATAAACATACCACAAAATGAGCTACTGTTAATCCACGATTTGTGTGTATTGCAGCTAAATATTTTACCGTTTCTTGTAATTTCTCTTCTTCATTAAAATTTCTCACAATTTTCATGATATTATCCACATAACATATAGCCATTTTAGTCAGATAATCTAAATTCAATGCTTGAGGCAAAGTGACTGATTGAAGTGGTTTGTACATTTTCATATAATCAGGATTTTTTATTAAAAGTCTAATTAAATGAAGAAAAGCATATAAACCGATATATAATATTTATACTTTGTGCATTACGTTTAATGTAATATTATTATGAGAATCTTTAACAGAATGTGAAGATAAATACCAGTAAATATAGATATTAGCTGATCACTCCTGTAAAATATAAGTTTTACTTTCTATCTTCAGTTTTCTTACTAGCTATGTACACAAACACTAATAAAATTGAACGAAAAACACTTTCGATAATCAATTATTGTAATTAAGTTTTTTATTCTCCTCAGGATTGCGCACTGCTGAAGAGTCCCATACTAGGACAAAACGGCCGTCCAGTGCTTCCATGTTCAAGAAACATTTATTATAAAGTTAATTTTATAATATTAAATTATGAACAGAAAAATGAATATTTGGAATTTTCAATAAATTTTGATAATATCACTTTACAATCAAAACTTAATTTTATTTATAGTAGGTACATTCAATGTATTACATATCATATGAAAATTTTTTAACATACTACTTATACTACTCAGAGACGTGTTTGATTATTATAAATATGTAATGGGATAAAAGTTTTAGGATATTTTATTTACTGGATTAAATCAACTGAATATTAAAACATTTCTTAGTAATTTTTGAAGTAAATTACTCTACACCAAAAAATATCTATGTAACAAACAACACTATTTTGTGCAAATTCAACCTGAATATAGTTGGATAATTCCAATCTTAACTATAAATCAAATTTCATGGAATAATTTTCGTTTAACGACTATAACAAGAGACCAATCCGTATCGGATAGAAACAGTTATAAGCCTCAAACAATGAATGAATCGTTGAGCAAATCATGGATTGATTTAAATTATATTAAAATCGCTGGATGTCGGCTCAATGATCTAGAAGTTAAACGTTAATGTGCGAGACCGAAAGTCCTGAAATCGAGTCACCCATGTAAGATTGTGAACGAGCACTGTTGTGCAGTTTCATACTAGGATGAAACGGACATCCAGTACTTTTAGATTTTCAATGGTGGTCTATTAAAATAAATAAATAATTCAGATTTTCAAATACAAACCAAAATAAATATATAACTTTCTCTTCATTTTAATACTGATAATATTTTTGGATAAAAAATGAATTAATGAAAAGACTAGAAAAATTAGAATAAAGTTAATATCCATCCAATCACCAACAGTTTGGTATTCTATGAATCGACATATAAGTTCAGATAATTTAAAATTCATTTTTACTTATCAAGTTTCTATACTAAATCTATCATAATAATGAGAAATATGCAAATGTTTACACTGCTTCATGTAATTTGGTCCATTTGGCTTTCATGATAAAACTAAAATTCAATGAAATATAATAGAACTATTGATAGACTAGATTTTATTTATGAAGATTACCATTGGTGATGAAAGAAAACCGAGATTGAAGTTCGATTCAGATTAGAAGTTTTCAAATTATTTGTTTAGTTAACGATTACGTCTTATGATTAAAATGGTGTAAGAGTTTAACAATAACACAGTTATAACATCGCTTCATGTACTTAGACTTCGACAACCAACCAAAATCTTCAAATAATATACAAAATCAAGTGAATAAACCTCTATTGAGTTACTAAATTCAATAAATTTATGATACAGATGTCATTCGTTCGTGAAAAAACATCTTTCAGCCTAATAAGTTGGAATTAGTTTTCATATTATTCAAGATTTTCATTTCATAATGAGAATTATCATGCAAAACTGAAAACTACTAAAGAAATCAAAAAAATCTCCAATCGTCTTAAGTATCAGTGATGAGATGATAAAGATCAGAATTATGTAAAATGAATTAAAATTTTGTCAGTAGTTTTGATATGCATTATTTTCTTTGAATATGTTTTTTTACAACTGAATATCTTCCAAAACACATGAAAACTTAATTGAATGTAACATAGAGATGAAATAGATCGGAAAATTAGAACCAACTTGTTTTTTATCTAAGGTAAATTGATATCACTAAAGAAAAAGTCAAATCTCCACTGTACATATGACAACCACAGATAGATTATAATAAACCAGTGAATTTTCTCTACTGAGTCTTTAATTACTTTTAATTATCAAATTTGGTTTAAAGATTACATTCTAGAATATAACTGACAAAATGTCAGTTTATCATTGATGACTAGATATGTCGTCAACGAAAACTTAACAACTGATTAGTGTAATTATACATCATACATATGTTATAAGTCTTAACGTCATTTATGATTTTTTTAAATATGAGTCTTGTTTCTGTCATCCTCTCTCTCTCTCACTCTTCAATATACCGTACGTAATAATTTTGCAGATACTGGTAACTAACACTTTTCAGAAATGTAATTAACTCTGGAAATGAACCAAACAAATAGCTAATTACATAATAGATAGATTATTTTGGTCAATATTTAATGTCGATTTCTAATAAATACATTTGTAATGGACGAGAAGAGAAGTGAGGATAATCGAATATATTTGAACACAAAATTACAGACAGTCTTAGTAAAATCTGAGAACCATACAGTAAATACTTCATTTGAAAAAATGTCAATCAATTGTCTCAAACTTAACTGTTCCTTCATTTCCATAGTAATCATTCTCTGTATTCGTTCACTTTTCTTCGATCTTTTTAACCTTTTTACTTTCAGTTATTTCTCTTCCAGTTGATGGTATTTACTACTTATATCCATCAACATCAACAGCACACACTACACTATCAGATATTCAATTAAGTATGTCATAAAACTAAGAAATGTTTTTTTGGAATTTACATTATTTTAACAAAATTAAATCTTGTACACAAAATGTGCTAATTTTTTATTGATCCATAGAGAAGATATTTTGTTTTGAGAAAAAACAATAAAACAGAAAAAAATTGATCTAAAATAATTGATGAACAAAACAAAAAGAATTTTATAATTATCGTCAGTGGAAACACCACCACTACTACTGTTACTACGACTACTACTACTACTACTACTACTACTACTAATGATAATAATAATAATAATCATACTAAATAACTTGCAATCATAAATGGATTGGAATTTGAAACTAACAGTTTTAGTTATAAATAAGCATCATGTGTTGGCATAAAGAAAAAGAAAGATGTTAGTTTAATGTCAATAATTATATGATTTTAATCAAATATATCAAAAATACATACTTTACAATGTTTACACTGTAAGTTGTATCTATTTTGTTTTTCTTTAGTTTTAAAAAAAAGTATGTTAAATAAAATGCTTGATGATAGTTGTCAATGATGTTTAATAATGAGTTTAAACAATAGAAATATAAAGTAATTGCTAAGTGATTAAATCTATCAATTATAGAAAATATAAATGGTTATATTGGAAAGAAAAATTCCAGGACTGATAAGTTTTTCAGTTATAAGTGATAGATTATCTAATGAAAGTTTATTCAACTGGATTTTTTTTTGTATATTGAATAATATTCTAGTTTTTGTTCTTAGATTAATTCTACTTATCTCATTTATCTAGTTATTTGTCGTCTTCTAGAAACAGAATCCATATAGATGCTGATGAACAAGGTGTTTCATTGAAATGAATGAATAAATATTTATATTAAACTACTTGTCAATGTTTTCACTACATCATTTACCTTAAAAACGACCATATATTTCCTAAGTTAGTTGAGCTTTGAGTATGACATGTTAAGTTTAATGATCAAATAACCACCCACAATTATTAGTAGCATTACTCAATGAATAATTATGTCGTGGTCTGTTGATTGAATCATTTAGTTTATATTTTTTTATTTCAAGAATTTTCATTTTCCAGTCATTGATATTCAAGACTGAATTGAGTAGTTTCTGTTAACTCAATGAATTTCTTTGAACAGATGTATCAATATTGCTTACATTTGAAAATGGATTAGATTTTCCAGACAATGGATAATAATAGATTCAGGATACACGCTATTCGTTGTTAGAAACTCGATAACTGTAAAGCCCTGTAAACTATTATCACGGTTCCTATGAATAATAATACATATACCAGACTCGTTATATAATTAGTGACCATAATAATGATTAAATACAATAAGTAAAAACACTGTAACTTTTTAAATTATAATTACTGAGTTCAAGTTGTATTGGTTCCACCAACAGTAGAATGTAATTATATACAGTGAGTTCAAATTTAGACAAAATATTCGTCCTGCTTCCATTATCAACCACTATCAAAGATGTAATACAAATAATCTTATCATAGTGGTAAAACTTGTCAATAAAATAATCCAGAAGAATAAATATTAATTCATTTACGCAAAAACTAAATTCACGAGTACCATTGTCAGTAGTAAGAACAGTAGTATAATTCATAAGGCTTATAAGTTATAAATACAGACATAGAAAGAATGAACAACAATTGGATAGAACTAGAAAAGAAGGCCCAGGACAGATTGGGTTGGAGAATGCTGGTTGGCAGCCTCATTCAATTCATATAAAAAAAATCTATTAGCGATTTTATGATCATATGTAGTACTTAACCAATATTTATTTTTTCAATCATTTTAGTTAAACATGGTAGTGTCGGTTACTATGTTAAGCCCACATAACTTATTTTAGCTTCTGGACAGATCAATTTACCCATCTTCTTTAGTCCCGTTTTGACCTTGTTAATTATTCACTTATCAACTCTGTTTTTATGTTTGGGTACATATTATCCTACTCATCACATGTCTATAGCCTATTTTTGTATGACTATAAATATTGATTAACGCTTGATTAAATCGAGTTGGAGCACACGCCTTATCCACTGCACGTCATTTCAATTCACTCTTTTCTCTTCGCTTCCTTTGCTTCATCCCTCTGATTGTCTGTCCAGATCAATGATTGTACAAAATACACGTATTCAAAATCCTTTCTTGTATTTGATTTATTTTAATTCCATTATTTACCAACACGGATTAAGTCAGTAATTTTATACGAGGATTGGCGATATGTACATTTCAATAACAATCAATCAT